ATGTTTTTTGAATTTATAACCTATTAATGATATTGTCTGTGAAATAATATGAGTAATACTGTAAATAATTATAATACATGTGATATTGAATAAACGAGTATAATTTTTTTTTTCCGAACAAGGAACATCTTGGGATTTGAAAACAAACAAACAGCAAACGAGATTGAGACGGCTCGGGCGGCTCAAAAAGTTAGGCTCCGCCCATTCTTTGAGGGAGTCGAATATCCGAGAGGAGTGTTTGTTATTTTTTGTCTAGGATGCGGGTTCTTATTTTTTCATGATTCTAATAAAATTTTTCTTATCCTGAACTCCTATAAAAAAGCCCCATAAAGTAAAAATAAGTATTTTTACTCCCAAGTGCATCTTCTTTTTCTTCTTCTTCACCCTCATCTGGAGTCTTCTTCTCCCCCCAACCTTTTCATCTTCTGACGTCTTCTTCTTCAGAATCCTCCTCCAAAACGTTTCTCTGCGTCTCTCCCCTCTCTCCTGTTTTACTGCCACGTCACGGATGGATGAGTATGAATGACTTTTTTGGAGGCTTTTTTGGGTTTGGACTCAGTATATATCATTTGACATTTTCAAACTTTTTGCCTTTGAAATTTCATTAAAATGTTTCAATAGAAATTTCAAAAAGAAATGTTTAGGAGGTCTGAATAATTAATATGACAACCGATTTTTGGTCAAAAATGCTTCAAAATTTAGTGTAGCTCTGAGATAAGGTTCTATTTCACTTTTAAAGGTTTTTTTTTCAAAATGTAGTTTACCGAAATAGTGCCTTCTTATTGTTAGATTTTTTCTAACTCCACCTGAAAGCGAATTACCGTACTCTGCAATATATAGAATGACCCCTCCTAATTATGAGCTAATTTATCTCGGTTCCTGTAAAAGTTATCAAAAAGTGACCAACCGGCAAAATATTTGTGATAATATGATGAACATTTTGTTAGTGAGCCACTTTTTGATAACTCTTACAGGAGCTGAGATATATGGGATCAAATTAGAATGTGTTTTGAAGGGAGAAGGAAGAATTCAATTTCTTTGGATGTTTTAAGTCTTCTGGTTTGAAAACAGGACTTTAAAATATTGTAAACTTAGCACCATTTTGTAGATCATGGGTTCCATAACTTTGAGCTCGTATATCTCATTTCCTGAAAGAGATACCAAAACGTTGTCAACTGATAATATGTGCATCATATTATAAGAAATATTTTATTACTTTACTACTCTTTGATATCTTCAACTGGAAATGGGCTCAAGGTTGTCGATTCGATTTAGGAAAATTTCCGTTTCGCAAATTTCTAACAGATCAAAATTTTGAACCATGCACCCCAATCAAATCTCATTTCTCTTCTTTCTCTCCCATTTTCAGATCCTTATTCGTCTTTTCTTCTTCTCCATATTTTCCAAATGTGTTCTTCTCTTTTCTCCAGCTCCTGTCCCCCCACACATTCACAGAATCCTTCTTCCCACTTAGCATATTCCGTCCCTTTTTTCCTTCAGCTTTCTTTTCTCTTATCCTTTCTTCTTCTTTTTTAAGAAAAGCCTTGTGTTTATTCAATTCTTCTTATCCGCACCCTCCCTTTTTCTTACCCATCTTTTGCTTTTTTCTCTCTCACATCTTCTCTGAATCTATCTTTTTCTTTTATGAGGCTTCTTCTCTGGAATTCTGAAAATGAATAATTTTCAGATGCCTCTATAATGCTCACCGCCATCTACAATATTTCTTTGTTCTTGTTTTTTAGTGAGTTTTTAGGAAATACCGCAAAACCTGTAATAGAAGAGCCCGACAAGTTTAAGCTTTTTTCGGTTTCTGTAGGAGATATCAAAAAAGTGTCATCTGATAATATGTTTGTGATATTGTGATAAACAATTTATCAGTTAACAAGAAATTTAGAAATTTAGAAATTTAGAAATTTAGAAATTTAGAAATTTAGAAATTTAGAAATTCAGAGATTCAGAAATTCAGAAATTCAGAAATTCAGAAATTCAGAAATTCAGAAATTCAGAAATTCGGAAATTCGGAAATTCAGAAATTCAGAAATTCAGAGATTCAGAAATTCAGAGATTCAGAAATTCAGAAATTCAGAAATTCAGAAATTCAGAAATTCAGAAATTCGGAAATTCGGAAATTCAGAAATTCAGAAATTCAGAAATTCAGGGATTCAGAAATTCAGAAATTCAGGAAATTCAGGGATTCAGAAATTCAGAAATTCAGAAATTCAGAAATTCAGAAATTCGGAAATTCAGAAATTCAGAAATTCAGAAATTCAGAAATTCAGGGATTCAGAAATTCAGAAATTCAGAAATTCAGAGATTCAGAACAAATTCAAAATTCAGAAATTCATTTTCAAAAACCGGGATTCTGTGAAATCTGCAAAATTTCTCATCAAACTTTTTCTAGTTCTTGGACGTGCAAAAAGAAGAAAAAATAGACAAGTTCAAAGCTTGGGGGTCACTAATTGGTTCGCCCCTTCTAATTAATGGACTTTTGTGAAAATCAAAAGATGTAGATTTACCCCCAAAAACAAAAACTAGCTATACAATATTCCCTCGGGGTCCGACTTTTCGATCGAGAGAAAAAAAAGTGAATCATTTTGATTTGTTGATGCTTTTGAAGTTTCTTTTCTGGTTCGATGCGGAAGAGAAAAACAAAAGGAAATGACATTTTTTGGTTGAGATGAGTATAAAATGGAACCCATTCGATATCATTTCCCATGGGAGAAAGTGATGGGAGACGAAAGTTGGGGGAAATAGACTAGGCTTGAAAATCCAGGGCTGAAAATATGTTAATGTAATACCTGTAATAGAAGTGCCCTTCTCCCCGTTGCTTTCAACTTTGAGACAATTTTTCTCGGTTCCTTCAAAAGATATCAAAATATTGTCAACTAATAAATTGTTTATCATAATATCAGAAGTGTTTGATCAGTTGACACATTTTTAATATCTTTCACAAGCATCGAGATAATTGATCTCAAAGTTAAGAGGTCGGAAGCTGTACCAGGCCTGTGCGGCAACAAAATTTTTTCGCCAATTCGGCAACTCGGCAATTTGCCAAATACTTTTCGGCAACGTTCGGCAACTCGGCGATTGCCAAAAAAAAATTTCGGCAATTTTGGCAACAAAAGTTTTGCGTCTTTTTTTTAGTAAAATCGATACGTAACTCACATGAAAATGCTTCTATCAGGCTCAGAACTACAGAAAATGTGTTTCATAAGTTCCTTAAAAAAGTAATTACAAAAATTGGCAACTCAAGACCACATTTTTTATGCAAACTATTTCTCTTTAGCAATAGAGGGTACTCCAATGGTTGAAAATATTTGTTCCGATTGTGAGTTTTGAAAATAGTGCGCTCAACTTGTTAGGCAACTCACGACACACGTTCCCTAGAGATTTGAGACAGATTGGATAATTTTTAGAGGAGTTGTGACTCATGATATCTATTTTTCTCCTATGCTCACAAATTTAAAGCCCATTTTTAGATCCGATGCAAGTATTTTTGATGATTATTGGGACACATTTCCTCTAAAATTCACTCTGAGGGATGATGGTGTTCAAAATTTGATTATTCGAACTTCGAAATCATTTTTTTGACTAAAAAAAATTGTGAAAATCTCTAAATTCAAAAAAATTTCAGTTGCCGAAATTGCCGAAATTTTTTTGCCGAAATCGGCAACTTTTTCTTCGTTGCCGATTTCGGCAACGGCAAATCGGCAACAAAAATTCGGCAATTTCGGCAATTTCGGCAATCGGCAATTTGTTGCCGCACAGGCCTGAGCTGTACCAGAACCTGTAAGTGCAGAGGAAGTAAACACTTTCAAAATCTCAAATACTGAAAAAATAATTCCAGACGGCGCCCATAGTACCCAACTATCTTCTCGAGCCGATCAAAATGTGATGCGTCTATATCGTGATCTACTCTACGACTATAACAATGAAATCCGGCCATCAGTCCATCCGAAAGAACCCATAAATGTCACTTTTGTTTTTTCACTGACTCAGATTATTGATGTGGTAAGTGTTGTACACTTTGAACTCAATTATCGCGGCTCCTATGAGAGATATCAAATTTTTTTCAACTGATAAAATATTTTTCATTATATCAGAAATATTTGATCAGTTAACCAATTTTTGATATCTCTCGCATGGACCGAGATAATTGAGCTCAAAATTCATAGCATTTACGCTAGCTTTCAGGACGAACGAAATCAGATTCTAACGACTAACAGTTGGGTGAGGTTGCATTGGGTGGACTATAAGCTTGTATGGGACCCCAGGTTGTATCAAAATGTGACAAGATTGCATATCCCTAGTGATAAGATTTGGAAGCCTGATATTATATTGTATAATAAGTGAGTTTTTTGAATTCTTTAGGTTAAAAAGAGAAACAATTTTAGCGCCGACGCTCAGTACATGAAATCAGTAATGTCTACAGATGTGATAGTAGACTATCTTGGAAATATACACTGGCCATTATCAGCAATTTTCACATCATCATGTCCATTAGACGTCAAGCACTATCCATTTGACAGACAGACTTGTATTCTGAAATATGCTAGCTGGGCGTATGATGGAACGAAGATCGATTTGTTGTTGAAATCGGAGCAAGGAGATATCACCAACTACATTACCAACACCGAGTGGAGCCTAATTGGGATCCGTGCTGAGAAGAATCAAGTGATCTACAGCTGCTGTCCAGAACCCTATCCATTTATCGACGTTCATGTGACAATCGAAAGGAGAGCAATGTTCTATGTATGACCTAATTCTCCTTATGACCTTTTTTCTAGATCACCAAACGTTTTTCAGGTGTTCAATTTAATTCTACCATGTGTTCTGATCAGTTTGATTGCTTTGATGGGCTTCTACATGCCAACAGATTCTGGAGAAAAAGTTACACTAGGAATTACATCGTTGTTATCGACCACTGTGTTCCTGATGCTTGTAGCTGAGGGAATGCCACCAACTTCTGAAGCACTTCCACTTATTGGGATCTATTACGGAGTTACCATTATGTTGGTTGCCTTGGGTACCGCGATGACGGTGTTTACGGCGAGTTTTCGGTTTCCGTACATTTAGTTTTTAGAGATATGGACAATGGGGATCTAAACTTAAACTGGAACTTTTCCAGGTCAACATTCATCATACCGGAGTCCACGGCTACCCTGTACCACCATTCCTTCAGATATTTGCCTTCCGGTATCTTTCAAAAATTCTATTCGTTCGAATAGAACCATACCACTCCATTGCCCATCATGTCAGGCATATGTATCAGGTACCACCTCCCTAGGTTCAAACTCGTCAACTGGCCGGCTGATAACACGCTTCACAATTGAAATTGTGAGCAAAATATCATACCAGATGATGAAACTCGGATAGCTCTACAACCTTTAATAAGAATCGATGAGCTTTAAAACGGTATTGGGTCCGAGCAGACGATTTCTGTTGAATGTTGGTCGGTTATTTATTCAAAAACTAGTCGATTCTATTTAAAGATTGTAGAGCTTACCGAGCTCTATCATTCGATATGTTTTTTGTCCACAATTTCAATTTTGAACCGGCTCGTCGACAAGTATGACTAGGTTATCCAGTATCTAATACTTTTTCCATTTTCAGAAAGAACACCCCAACGAGTGTACATTATCGGCTGGCTTACACTATAAAAGACTTCAGGATTTTGATACAAAGCAGGTCAAAAAGCAAGAAGAGTGTGGATTGCAGAGGGATATGTCAAGTAAGTTTGACTTTTTGGGTCATCTCATTTTTAAAAAATTTCTAGATCTCTCCGTAATTTCTGCCAACGTGCATTGCAACCCTGACGATCGTCTTCTGCTATCCACAAAATCTTCCAGAAACATTGACCCGGAAAAAAGTCTCCGATCCTCGTTATCGATAAAGTCTGCATCACCAACTGTCAAGAAGAAGGTACACCTACTAGATCGAGAATTCGGAGTTTTTTAGATTTTATAGTTTCTTAAAAAATCCCTTTAGGGTCATATACGAGTATCGAACTATTCTCATCGAAACACACCAAGAATCATGGAGACTGATGTGTCTCATTTGGTAAACTAAGTATAGTTGCTTCTTTTTTGCTTTTCTATCGCTTGGAATTGAAATTGCCTGGCTTTCTTTCATATTCTGAAAAACGACAGTATTTATGGAAAAGTACAAAAATGAAGCTATATTTTTGTATTCCAATTTCCAAAAGTTTAAAAATAATATGTGCTTTGCTTTCTGCTTTTTTTTCTAGCTTTCTCGCTTCTATTACCATTCTATCCAAGGTTCTGACCCAATTTAGGTCTCCTTCTCTTCTCTGAACTCTCACGAAACCCCCATAGACTCTCCAATCTACGGAAGAAAATTGGGACGGACCCAATCACAAACTGCCACGTCATCTCATAATCGGAATTCGAATGGAAACGGTGGGATCACTTCGGAATCCCATCCTCCTCAAAATCCTCCGAAGATTTCACTAACCGACGTGGATGATGTATTTGAGAATGAGCAGCAACCGGTGGTAGATGAATTTGAGAAGGAATTTCTGAGAGTCATGTCTATGGTGCATGGAATCATTGAGAGAAATGAGATGAGGGTGGCTGAAAGAGACAAACGGGATGCGATTGCGTTGGAGTGGCAACAGGTGAGCGATTTAGTGGAAAAAATATGTTTTATAGGAACCGTAGCTACTGTAGTTTCTGAGATATGCGCCTTTAAAGTTAGTGCGCCTCCCTTACGCCTGGTGTGCCATGAGGGAGTGCCAACTTTAAAAAAACTCAAAAACTACAGTACCTATGGAAAAGTGGTTGACTACAAAAATGAAGTTTTAGATTCTATTAATACATCCTGCAATTTTCAAATAAATCGTAATAGTTGGAATTTCTTTCGTAGGACCATTTCCAACCTACCGCATTTTCTCTACTAGAATGTCACCTAAAGCGTCAACTTGGCGCCTATATATCTCGGTTCCTGTGAAAGATGTCAAAATTTTGTCAACTGATAGAGCGTTTATCATATCATCATCAGCATTTCATCAGTTGACAAATTTTTGATATATCGCATAGGAACCGAGATAATTGAGCTCAAAGTGCAAAATATGCTTTTCAGGTTGCCATGGTTCTCGACCGTTTTCTATTGGTCGTATTTCTCATCGGCACGTCAATGTCTACATTTGTAATTTTGAATCAAAGGAGTCTATTCGAATCGACGGGATAAAAAAATTTTATTTTATGTTATCAGAAAAAATAAAACATTTTTTGAACAATTCTCAAATATACAGAATTCTAATTCCTCGCCAATTTCGAAATCTTCGTCAATAATGGATACCGTCCATATCCACATTTTCCGTGATAATCATCACTTCCGACAGCGTAAACCATGACTCCACCCACTCCCCATTTCCTGGCAAACGCCATTTTTGCCAGAATACTTTGTTGGTTTTCATAGGAAATCCATAAACCGTCCTTGCCTTGAAAAAAAAGAAAATTTGAATTCAAAAATACATGTGAAAAACATTACCATATAAATAAGGAGCTTGTGCATTATGATTCCATACATTTGTATAATATCCAGATTTTGAAAAAATACAAACATCCCAATAATTTGTGATTTCCGGACGACTTCTAATCGCTGGGGAGTAGGGTTTATGGAGGTAATGAGTTAGAAGTTGATAGGCACGGGCATACGTAGGTATTCCGAAATATGAGATGTTTTTTGGAAGACCAAGGTCCAGCCAGGTTTTCATAGAAGACTCCTGGAAGTTATAGTGTCCAAACTAATTCCCATAAGGCCTAAAAGTTGTTAACCCATCTCACCGAATTCATTTCTCCCAGTACTGAAATCTCCGCTCTCATAGGATGTAAGGGGGCGTTGAATCCCACCAACGGATTACTGTACCTATTGAATACGTGGAAATCGTAGTTCATAATTTGCACCATGTCTGCGTACCTATAATTTGCTGGGTTAAAGATTTCACAACTTTCAAAAATCACTTTGCCAGAGCCTCTACATCATAGGCAACTCTCGAAATCGTGGGTGGTCCCGAAACGGCTACTGATAATTTGAACCCGGAGTTTTGTAAATGGGATCTTAGTATCTAGAAAAATGATAAGGAAGCTGATTAAACAATTTTCAGTACACACTCTTAAAAATGTTCCGAAATTCGCTTTGTCGATTTTTTTGGCATCTCGACTCCAGACCGGGAACTCCCAGTCAATGTCCACGCCATTCAGGTTGAAACTCTTCAACATCTGGCAAACAGATTTGGAGAATTCATGAACTAATGTGGTGTTGGAGGTCTTCAATAAAAAATATTATAAACACAAGTGAATACCTTAAACAATGTTGTAGAGTTCCACCCAAAGCGTCAACTTTGAGCCCACATATCTCGGTTCCTGTGAAAGATATCAAAAAGTAATATACGGACAAAATATTTATCAAAGTATCAGAAATATTTTATCTGTTGAACACTTTTTAATATCTTTCACAGCAACCGAGATATATATAGGTTCAAAGCTGAGGCTTTGGATGACTCATATTTAGAGTGTTTAATGTAATTTGCCCCTACCAAAAAAGTAAAACTTGGATTCGACGACGTTATTGTCACATAAAGTTCTCGTTTTCCATCGAATAAATGTCCAAAACCTTCTAAATCTTCTGCAACATATTCCAAAGCTCCGCCCTCCGAAATGTGGGCGGAGTTTATTAAAATGAAATTATCACATAAATCAGTGGGCGCTAACGATGGATCCGGTTGATTGATGATGTAGTAGCATACTACTGGTAAGGAATTGATAGGGGAAAATAGATAGAAAAATAGAAAAAAAATCAATATGAGCATGTTATGATGTGCTAAGTGACCAAAACGTACTTATCAGTAGAGTTTATAGTTTTTTGTGGTGTAACTGATAAGAAGGGGTCAAGTGACCATTATGCAGGTGATGCAGGTGATTGAAGGAAAAATCGATTGAACGAAAAACTAAAAAAATGTTCAAACTAGGAAACTTGGACCCATCCAAAGTGTAGGCGAGTTTTGCAACTTTTTAAATTTTCAGCTGGAATCGTTCAATTTTCATTTCCAAACAAGAATTCATCGTATGTCTCTTTTTTCATACTTTCATCTATTTTTCATTCAAATAAATCTTTTGTACAAATATCTCTAATTAAGCTAAGCAATCAAATCAATAAATTAAAATGGGTTCGGACAGGCGCCAGTGTTCACAAAGACCGATTTCAGTTGGGTGTAGTGTTCCAAGACCGCAACTCCGTTTTCACGACCAAATCCCGACTCTCCAATTCCTCCGAACGGGACTAGGGGAGCTGAAAAGAAAAGATCACTATTGTTTTTTCAGCTTGGTTTGGTACTTACAAACATCGTTAAAGGTATTCACATAGACATTTCCAGCGTTCAGCTGCTCGGAGATACGGTAGGATTTTGCAAGGTCTCTGGAAAATATGAAACTACTAGGAAGTATAATATAAATATTACTTACTTAGTAACCAACCCAGCAGCAAGCCCCATATCAGTATCATTTGCAATTCCAACAGCTTCTTCTTCAGTGTCAAATGGGATGATGAGAAGCACTGCACCGAAAATTTCTTCTTTGTACACTGTCATGTTTGGGGTGATGTCTGTCAGGATACAGGGGGACAGATAGTATCCATTTTCAAGGCCAGGAACTTGAATACGGTCTCCACCACAGATCTTGGTGGCTCCTTCATTGATGGCACCTGGAAAATAGTTCAAATTATGGATTTTGAGTGAGCAGGTTGTCTAGATGTCGACCACCTACCATTTATGTATCCTTCGACTCTTGTTCTATGCACTTCCGAAATGTGCGCTCCTACTTGTGTCTCATCTTTCAATGGATCCCCAATCTTCAACTCCTTCGTCTTCTTCACCAACTTCTCTAAGAATTCCTTCAACACACCTTTATGCACCAGAACCTTCGACGCATTCGAGCACACTTGTCCTTGACTGTAGAAGTTTGCCATCATGGCACAAGCCACTCCAGAATCCACATCAGCGTCTTCGAAAACAATCAGTGCCGATTTTCCACCCAACTCCATTGTAACCGGCTTAATATTCCTTTCGGCACACGCTGCCATGATCGTCTTTCCAGTCGGAATACTTCCAGTAAACGAGACTTTTGTCACGTCATCATGATGAATCAAGTGCTGAGCTGTCTCCGCATCACCTTGAATTACATTAAACACTCCATCAGGAAGTCCAGCAGTCTTCAGAATCTCTCCAAGGATCAGAGCAGTGACCGGGGATAGTGGACTGGGCTTGTAGATGATGGAATTGCCACAAGCAAGTGCTGGAGCTGTTTTCCAGGTGCATGTCTGGATGGGATAGTTCCATGCACCGATTGCAGCTACTACTCCAATAGGAAGGCGTCTTGTATAGGCATAGCGAGTCGGGTCAAGAGGTATATGGTGACCAAGGAGATCGTGAGCTGTAATTCATCATTAGACTTGTTGATTTTTTTTTGACAAGTTTATCGTAAAGCCTATAATAGAAGGGCTCCTACTGTAGCAACATTCAGCTCAATTATCTTGGTTCATTTTAAAGATATCAAAAATGTGTTACCTGATAAAATTGTTGTTATATTATAATTAGCATTTTATTAGTCAACAACTTTTTTATATCTTTGACAAGAACCGAAAGAAAATCCTTCCATTACAGGTTTTACGGTTGTTTTGCACACTCACCAATCCCGGAATAAAAATTAAAAGTATCCACACAAGACAACACATCGGCTTTCGCTTCGCTTATCGGCTTCCCATTGCTCAAACACTCCCAATAGGCAATATCGTCACAATGCGTTTTCAACAGTTCCGCTGTTTTTTTCAACACCTCATTCCTCTCCATCCACGTGGAACCCGCCCATGTCTTCTGTGCATTCTTCGCTGTTTTCACTACCAAGTCAACTTGTTCAGCATTCGCGTAGTGCCACGTGGCAAGTTTCCGGCCACTCCGGGGCTCCATAACAGGAAACTGACGGTTGGAGACGAATTCCACGTGGTTGCCACCAACGAAATGGGATGAGAGCTCGAGGAGTTTTGATTCCTTCAGTGTGTTGAGATTCATTTTTGTAGGCAAGATTCGCATTTTAAGCTTCAAAAAAGATGAAGGATTATTTATGTAATAGGGAAACATCGGGTTTGAACTGCGGTTGTATTCTCTTGCGCTTCATTGAGAAAATGCAAAAAATTTGAATTTTGGAAATCTTTGCCACGTCACTTTCTCAATGAAGCGCAACAGCTGACCACATCAGTTTGAACGCTGTGGGTTACTCATAACGATGATGACGTGGCTTTTTTCAAAAACTACAAACCACCAGCACAGGACTCCTCCTCAACTGCCCCGGATGCGAGCCGACGTCGCCTTGTGGCACTTGAGGTCTCCCTCTTTTGCGAAAGTACTCAATCCAAAACTCAATTAAATTCCCATCGCAATTCAAAAAATTCAGTGTATGCGTTGGCCAGTGCATCTGAATATTTCTTGATGACGTGGATTTGATGAATTTCAGACCTCTACGCCACGAAATGCTTCTGTTATCAGCTGACTACAGTAATAGGACTCTAGATCATCAGAATTCATAAGATCCGCCGAAAATAAGTCATTATAGGGAAATCCAACTTTCGATCTACACCACGTGGCTGCTTTTAGAATAGTGGATTCTGGGATTCCTTTGACTTCTAGAATCTCCACGATTCCTGGCTGATTATCATCTAAACTGTCCTTGAGAGTTCGCTCTAGAACCCCTTCAGGAGTTGCTTCAACTAGAGACCGCTCAGAAACCGCTAGTGCCACGTGGAAATAGGAATTGTTAGGGATGACTTGCTCCACGGCATCACAGAATTCAGATGCGGGAGAGCGAGCGTAGAAAACCACGTCACCAGGTTTGAGCATTCTGAAAGGTATACAGTGGTTAGTGGGAGAACTACACTGTTAGATTTTTGAAACAAGAGGA